TAAGTAAGTTATTAATATGTATTTGTTTATTAGAGAAAAAACAAATGGATGTTAAAGTCTATGAGTAGAATTATACAAAGAAAATTAAACAGTCAAAAGAGCTTAACGTATATCACAATGTACAGTTAGAACAGCTGTATCTGACTTAAACATGGTTTATGCGGCTCATCTGCATGTACATGTTGTTTACAGTTTTTTGACGAAACATTCGAACAAGATAGATTGAAACTAGAACTTTGAACACCTAAGTTGTTGGACAGAATGAAAAGTATAATGAAATTGTATAAATAAAAAATATAATAAAACTATATGAAAATAATAGTAAAACTATATGAAAATAATAGTAAAACTATATGAAAATAATAGTAAAACTATGTGAACAGAATAATAAAGCTATATGAAGAGTATAATTATAATATAACGATACGAAATAACCTTTAATTTTTTAAATTTTATTTTAAATATTTATTTTTAAAATGTAGCTTTGCCGACGGGGAATGGAACCCCGGTCTTTCGGGTTACAGGCGGGGATACTTACCACTATAATACCGAGGAGATGTCTGCAACCGAACTTTGTATTTTATATTCATAATTTAATTTATCACATTCTGCGAATAATGTCGAGCGTTATCGGCAGACCAAAATCTGCGAATAAGGCTTCCAGGCGTATCCCGTATTTTGCGTATCTGCCTCCACCTCGCGTCTCCATGTATTCTTTAGTCTTCCTTTCTTTCCTATTCCATGATAGGATCTCACTCACCCTACTGTCTGTCCTATTCCATGATAGGAGCTCGCTCACCCTACTGTCTGTCCTATTCCATGATAGGAGCTCGCTCACCCTACTGTCTGTCCTATTCCATGATAGGAGCTCGCTCACCCTACTGTCTGTCCTATTCCATGATAGGAGCTCGCTCACCCTACTGTCAAAATCGGGCTTTTTTTTTTACGCTAGCCTGGGATGAGAGGGTAGGAGAGTGAGCTATTCCAGGCTGTAAGACGACGGCAACACTCAATTTTTAACGTTATCATTGTTGTGTATGGCAGTGCACCAAACCAGTCAGGTGAAAAACTAAGGAAAAATTGCTTCATTTGGTCAAATCATTTTATATAACAAGTTAAAAATACTTTTTTTAAAATAAAAATCTTACTGTTGCATAATGATAATGTAAAAAAAACATTTAAAAAAAAACAAAATATAGAGACGTCTAGAACCTTTTCACTCCCCGATAAGTGCGTATGCCCTGATTTCTCCAGTTTCTAGTGGACCATTGAACATAGATTCTTTTGTCCAATGAAATGAGAGGGAAATGTTGACCTCTCTGGCTGGAAAAGTACACAAATGTAACGCCCGACTGTGATCCCATGTTTTGCAGACGCGAAATATGTTTTTGATGGACGCTCATAATCCCCGGGGGATGGGAGATCACAGCCACCGTGTCACAGTCCCACACAAGCCACAAGAGTAACTCGAGTTTCAATGACAATAGCAGAAACGAGGCAGCTATCGAGTGACCTCAGTACTCGGAAGCCGTGAAGTTGGAGTTTAAAACAGAATAAATCAACCGATTCAAATTGTTGTTGCTAATGCTGTTTTGTTTGTGTTTTTTTTTTGTTTGTTTTTTTAAAGTTACCTCATTTTTTTAATGTCTACTTTCCTAACTCTCTGATGTCCTTTTAGCTCTCTAATGTACTTCTAGGCTTCTAATGTACTTCGAACTCTTTAATGTACTTTGTTAAATTAGTACTATAAATTAATGAAATAGCAAAACGAGGTATGTTATTTTTGTTGAGCACAAATTAGTACTATAACCATGTTCTTTATCTTTTGTAAGCTTTGATTATCCTCTAATCAGTATAGTTTTTTTAGTTAAAATAAAGAAGAAGTAAGTTTACAAACATATTATAGACCATTCATTTATCTTTCATTTGATACCTCACTTTGTCTTACAAACCAAACAATAATATTTTTAATAGTTTTCAATCCCAACCTCTCACTTCTGGTACCCGTGTACGAATAGTCGAAGCCTTTAAAATAAATAATTTTAATTTTATTTTTTAAGGAATTAATTTTTTTTTAGAGTAAACAGGGCTGGCGTAATGGGGAATGTAGGGCTTCCAGGAAATTACATTTTGAGGGACCGATATGACTTAAAGAGACTTTTATGGTTTATTATTTTTAACAAGAATAAATGACCCGATGTTATCTGGATAATAACAGTAAATCCATTGCGATAATTTCTACTTGCTATTGCAAAAACTCATCACAATTCCTAACTTTAAAAAGAAGACTCTATGTAATAATATTTACGTTTCAAAATCATTAAGTTTTGAGAAATATGTATCTGCTTATATCATACGCATACCCTACTCCCTTTTACGCCCCTAAATTACTTTTTTCAATCAAATATGACCTTAAATTACCCAGTCTAAATTATTACTAATTGTATCCCTTTTGTCACTAAAGAAGTTAATTGGTGGACGATTTCAACGCTAGAGAAATAATTTAGATTTAGAAATCTACCTCTTTTCGCGCCCTTAATTTACATTTTTTATCTAAAATTTGGGATAAAAACATAATAATATGATATAAATATATTTAATATTAAAGGAATGTGATATATATTGATATCTTCATCAAAAATGTAAACACACTTTTGACTTGTTTTTTAGATTAAACATTATCAGAAAATCGTAAAACAAAGAATTCTTTTATCTAAATAAGATTCTCGCAACCGCTTTTCACGCCTATTTTAGACTTGAGTGTCATTTTTTTTTTAAATTTAAATTTTTAATCTCATAAAAATACACACCTGGTTACTTTTTACAAAGTAAAAACAAAAATATATTTTCATTTTTTTAAAGTAAATATTAACACATCTCTATTTTTCAAAATTAATTTTTCAAGTCTGCAAAATGATTGGGTTTTGATATTCATGAGTGCATATATAATTGTACCCACCTTTTGATGACGTCATGGGCCTACTTATTTAAATGCACTCACATGTTAACGATTTGTTAACGCCTTTAAAGATGTTCTTAATTGGTTAACATATGTTTATTTGTAAAAAGAGAACGTAACATCTCTTTTTTTCACAAATGTAATACCATAGGATTTAAATATATTGTCATCCATTTGAAAATGTATACATCTTTTTCCTACCTCCGATATGTATGTATCCAAGACGGTTAACTATTTATCAAATTCATTCATTTATTTTGAGACGTATCTTGTGCTGCCTTGCATAAAATGAACATACACATATTCGTAAAAATAGAATGTAGCACCTCTTTTTTTCACAAATGTAATACCATAGGATTTAAATATATTTTCATCCACGTAAAAATGTACACATCCTATTTCCTACCTCCGATATGAATGTACCCAAAGAGGTTAATTATTTATCAAATTTATTCCCTTATTTTGAGACGTATCTTGTGCTGCCTAGGGCAACGTAACCAACCCTCCCCCACCCGGATTTAAATAAAATTAGAAAATCTTCCACCGGATAGCAGTCCCTTCCATACTCAAAATAACATATTTTGTCCTTCATATGGTTCGTTCTTATTTGTATGAGTTATAAGTGGATGGTGAATGCTATTTGGCTATAGAGTTGCGCTTCCATAAACGGCATTTTCTTATAAGAAAAATATTTAAAGGTTAAGTTTTTATTACGTTTTAAATTTAATAAAAGTATATTTTTGGAATTTAAAAAAATTTAGAACTTATTAAATGTTAAAAATACAAAGCTTAAATTTGTGTGTGTTTTATTAACAATTTAAAGAGCAATCAATTAAATTTATAAATTTTACTTTTAAGAAGGGGGAAATATTGATAAGTTTTTTTAACGCGTGGTTTTAAAATCAAAGAAATTTAAGAGCTTTGGCTAACATTGGCGATTCGCGCTATGACGTCATTTGCGTTTTTATTAAGAATAAATTGATTTTAATTTTATTTCCCAATATTGTCAACACACTAAAAAACGCACTGAAAACAACTGATGCATAGGTTTTCCCGATAAATGTGATTACGATGTAATTCTTGGATCAAAAATTTGTTAGGAATTTTTTTTTCATAACTTTTAAAATCGGATAAACTGCTTAAAATAGTTCCTTAGCTGTTACTTTAAATGTATTTGTAATTTATAATAATATTACTTAAAATTTAATAAAATAAAAGCAGATTTAAAATATTTTTTGAGCATTTAAATTTATTCGATTTCCGTAAAATAATTGAAATTAACTATGATTGTTTTGGGGAAAACGAACGTACTTAAATCGTATCGGCTCTTTGGCGTTATGTCACTATAGCTCATTCTTATATATATATTTATGTTATAAAATTACTGGGTTTTTTTTAATGTATATTATTTTAAAAAAAAAAAGTTCGAAAACCGGTTTGTGAAGAGCAATAAGCGGAGAGACTGCAATCGGTTAGCACAATATAAAATCAGTAAAACAAAGTAGGGTTAAACCTGAAAAAAGGAACGCAACAAAACAACAAACTTGTCGGCAGAAAGACTTCGTCAGCGAACAAAACAACAGTAAATTCGGTATAAAATTAGGTTTAAAAAAATAGCACTTGTGAAGAGCAACTACCAGGTTTCGGTTCCAAAACCGAAAACCAGAAAACCAGTTTATTTTTTAGCATACTTAGGTCGAGGTGCCTTGAATACCGCAATGAGGTTATGGGCTGAAGTAGCCTTGAATACCGTAATGAGGTTGTGGGCTGGCGTAGCCTTGAACACTGTAATGAGGTTTAAGGTTGTGTTGATAGATGCCGGACCCGGCACGCCTTTGTGGCATTTACTTTCAACCTACTCTCCAGGCGGGTCCAATCGTTTCAAATCATTTAGACTTTTTGGGGGGCTAACCAATTATGACGTAATCAGGTCTCAGCTTATGGTACAATTGGGGACCTTTCTTAGATCATTGACCAGCACAGAGTTCGGGAGATACTATCACAATTTAATCAACAAGACATTTTTGTGCTTCAAATATAAGGACATATGTTAAATAAATATTAGTTTGGTTTTTATTTGGGTCGGAAATTTCTTTCCATACAGATTTATTTGAAATGTTACTATGAAATGATAGTCACAAGAGATCAGTTATAAAAGGGTTGTATGAGAGAGTAGGTTGCTGAAATTCTTCTGTGAAATGAAGAGAATTTATTAGGTTTATATTTGAGACTGCACAAAGACTTTTCAGCATCGGAGCCTATTTCTTTAAAAGCTGACAGCCATGTCGATAATGTTCAGGTTCCGGTCGTGTAACTGACGCTGGTACTGGTGACCTTGGTTTCAGACAGACCATGTTTCTGTGATATGGAGCTGGCTCTCTGGTCAATCCCGACAAATCTGTTGCAGGTAACTAATTTAATTAGTTCCGTTCTAGGAATTAGAAAACATAATTATACCAATTGACCAACGGCAAACATTCAATTAAATAATTAAGTAGCAGTAAATTACTTTATTTTCACAACTTGTTTTTTTTTTTGTTGAAGTCAGTCATTTGAAGCAAGTCATTTAAAGAAAGTCATTTGAAGCAAGTCATTAAAAGCACGTCATTTAAAGCAAGTCATTTAAAGCAATTCATTTGAAGCAAGTCATTTGAAGCAAGTGATTGGCAGCAAGTGATTGGCAGCAAGTCATTTGAAGCAAGTCATAGGGTTACGCTTAAAATGAAGCAAAGATTTGAACTAGTCTACTAAAAGCTTTCATCCCCTGATAAAATTTCAAAGTTGTAAAATATTACACCCATAAATCAAATATTGAGAATAATGTGCAATAAAGCAATAGTATATCTGATTCAACCGATATTTCAGCAAAATGCCCCCCCCCCCTTTTTTTCCAGATCACAGAAATGAAACTGTTATGCTTTTTGGGGGGGGGGCGTGTTGTGACTAATAGTAACCGGAAATAATATTACAGGTATCTGAAATGAAGATTTAACGCTAAGATTCTCTGACCCACTAGACCCGTCTATTGTAGTCAAAACTTTTCGTAGTACTAATAGTTAAGTTTTAGCGTCCAAACATACTGATACCCCCGTCTCTGTCTCCCCGTCAACTGTGTCTCCCAGCCATCTCCGACTCCTGCCATCTCCGACTCCTGCCATCTCTGACTCCCGCTATCTATGTCTCCCCATCAACTCTATCTCCCTGTCTCCCCACTCCCCAGCAACTCTGTTTCGCCAGCCATTTCTGACTCCCGCCATACCTGTCTCCCCACCATGTCTGTCCCTCATCAACTCTGTATCCTCACAAGCTGTCTTCCCAATATCTCTGTCTCTCCATCTGCCTCCCCCCCCCCCAAACCATCTATGACCCCCACCATCTCTTCTTCTCCGTCTTCTCAAACAAACTGATGATATTTACATACACAACTCTATGTACTGACCTGAATTTCTTGGCGGCGATGATGTAGAGAATGAAGTTGACGGCACTGTTGTACATTCGAAGCACACCAAAAACATTCATCATGATAAGCCTTGCAACGTTGTCATCTTCTTCGCGACCGAGGAACTGGTCTGAGTAACGGTAGCAGAGGTCAGGGGTCACGCACAGGAACAGCCAGATCGAGTCTGCGAGTAGCATCCGGTTGATCTGATGAAGATCAAGCAATGTCAATGTATTAAGAAACAAGTGACGTAGCTAGGGGGTAGTGCCACCCGGGATGGGCCAAGCTTTTTGGCACCCATTTCTACGAATTAATCTCTGCAGTTTGTGGTAAATCCCAACCTTCCATAAAAAGGAAAAATACCGCCCGGGGCGAAGCTCCCTCCCCACAACCCCCTTCACACGCCACTCATTATACATGTGAATGGGTACGCCTTTCTGTCTGCCTAGCTATACATCTATGGCATCGGCTCTCAACCTGTGGGTTGCGACCCTTTTGGGGGTCAAATGACACTTTTCCAGGGGTCCCCTAAGACCATCGGAAAATACATATACTCAACAGTTATGAAGTAGCAACAAAAATAAGTTTGTGGTTGGGGTTCGCCACAACATGGGGTACTGCAATAAAGGGTCGCGGCATTATGAAGGTTGAGAACCACTGATCTATGACTTTGACTTTCTGTCCTACACATCTCAGCATAGATAAAAAAAAAATTGATAGCGCTGTAAATTGCTTTTTGGACAGTCACGAAAGCATTTTTATTAAAATATTATGCAAGATGCATTAAAATATACTTTCCGAAAATGTGTGACTTCATGTGATATATATCTTTTTTTTTCAAATTCAATTTAAATTATTTTTTTTTTCAATTAAAAAATGAATTTAAGTTGTATTAATTTAAGCACCTTGGAGCTGTCCTATTCCGGATACAGATATTTTATGCGAAAGAAATTTTGTCGACGGTAAATTGATCGACGATAATTTGATCGAACGGAAATTTGATCGAATCTTTGGTTGTTGTTTTTTTTACAGTTTTTACGTTTAATTTTTGCTTCAAATTTATTTTTGAGCGCATTATTTTGTTTTACTATATAATATAATGCGTTCAAAGAGAAATTTGAAGCAAAAAAAATTAACATTTAACATAAAAACTGTAAAAAAGAAGATTCGGCCAACTTTCCGTTCGATCAAATTGCCGTCGATCAATTTACCACCGACGAAATTTCTTTTGATCAACATATACTATTCTTTTGATAATGGGGACGCACCTGTTGTTGTTGTTTTGACTTTTCCTTATTTACGACGTCCGACATTTGTTTCTGAAACTTCCGCGCTTGGTCCAGCCGCCTGACGATCAAAGCGTTCAGCACGGCCAGGCTGACGATGGGGATGAGCATCATGAGAGTTGGCTGGATCTGGTGTTGGTAAGTGCTGGGGTTGGGGGGGGGGGGGGAATTACATGTGCTGGTTAGTGATTAGGATTTTGGGGGTAAATAGATGATTAATTTGTAAACGTCTTTGTGTGTGTCTGTGTGTGTAGGGGATGGGGAGGTAATAATGGGGAGGTGTTTGTGCATCCCTTGTTTCTAGATCAAGGACTTTTGGTCTAAACTCTCTCTTGTGTGAAAGATTAAAAATAACTTAATGACATAAAATCTGATTTAATGAAATATAATCTGATGTAACGAAATTTAATCTGATGTAAGGAAATGTAATCTGATGTAATGAAATATAATCTGATGTAACGAAATGTAATCTGATGTAATGAAATATAATCTGATGTAATGAAATATAATCTGATGTAACGAAATGTAATCTGATGTAATGAAATATAATCTGATGTAATGAAATATAATCTGATGTAACGAAATGTAATCTGATGTAAGGAAATGTAATCTGATGTAATGAAATATAATCTGATGTAATGAAATATAATCTGATGCAATGAAACATAAACTGATTTAGTGTATAATTTATCTGATGTAATGAAATAAAATCTGATTTAACTAAATATCTTATGTAATGAATATAATCTGATGTAATGAAATAGGGACTAATATAAAATGTACATATATTTAACGTGTGTATTTAAATATCACTAGGATGGGAAAAAGAAATATGTATATCTTAAATGTTATCCAAGGCGTAACAAATGACATACATTCCCCAGAATCCCAAATATTTCACTCTCATGACACACCAACTGTAGACGTTCACCCTGTACACCTCAACAATGTAGAGGGATTGGCAGAGACAGGCGGTGAGCACTGACAAGATGCCCACCACTGGGGAAATAGGAAACAAAAAGTGAGAAAAACTTGTACCCGGGTTTACGATTATTTCAGATTTGTGGAGTTGAAACAAAGAGAAGACAAATGCAAAAACTACACATTTTTAGTCTCCTGCAGCAGGGAAGTAAAGCTATATATTATATGAAACCATGGTAAGGCACTCTATGAAGTCATGGTAAGGCACTCTATGAAGTCATGGAAAGGCACTCTATGAAGTCATGGTAAGGCACTCTTTGAAGTCTTTTTAAGGCACCCTATGAAGCCAAAGTAACTGTTATGTGGACGACGTGTTTACGTCATATTTCCCCGTACTGTGAACTCTAGCAGACACCAAACTAGCTTTAGAAAATTCTGGAGAAAACTGGAATGGAGTAAAGTGTATAAGGCAGTTCATGGTGCATCAGTAGAATAGACTATAACAGCGGAAACGGTAGATTTTTCGGAGAGCATTTACCACGAGATATTTTACTTTACGGGACGACAGATGAGAGTTATTTTTAGAGTGTGCCATTGTTGCTAGAGTTTTTTTTACGAATATGTTTGAATTCCTATTCATCGTTGTATTTTTTGGCACATTATATTATCATCAACTGCGTACCGGTACAAGCAAAACAGTGCTCTGTAAGTTAATGATTTATTTTGTAATTTATTAGTAACTTAATAAAGCATATTAAATGTAATTAGCCCTGTTTCAGTATCGTATTTCTCTGTTATTGTTTTTATCATTTTCTATCGTCTTTTGTTATGTACTGTTTTGGAACGAGCCATTTAATTAAAAAAGAGATACGTTTCTCCATATAGATAGCATTGCGTATCATTAACGCAATCTATGAAGCCATAGTAAGGCACTCTATTAAGCCATAGTAAGTAAGGCACTCTATAAAGCCATTGCAAGTCACTCTATCAAGCCGTAGTAAGTAGGTAACTCTATGAAGCCGTTGTAAGGCACTCTAGAGGCCATTTTAAGGCACTCTATTAAGTCATAGCAAGGCTCTCTATGAAGCCATTGTAAGGCAATCTTTGAAGCCACAGTAAGCCTCTTTAAGAAGCCTTAGTAAGGCACTCTATGAAACCATGGTAAGTGTCACAGATCAAATATTTAGATTATAAATTTGTTTCGGAAAAAGGTATTGTTTTTATGAGTTAGAAGGAACAGGAAGTTAATTAAGGTATGTCATGGGCAGAGAAGCAGGTGGACGAATGGCAGTCTGTGTATTTTCATTATTGGCCCTTGCCATGATTACTTTTATATCAAACATCATCTCAATGTTGATTCAACAAATGTAAAGGGGAAGAAGTTATGACAATTATATTTGCTCTGCTTTATGGAGATATTATTTCATGTTGTGTACATTATTCAGTTAATAAATGTGTGATGCAAATTTCTGCCCCTCGTGCTTTTTTAGATAATCAAGGACGTCTATAAAATGTGAATAAATACGATAAGCAATAACTGCAAGTAATACCATTATTATTCAGCAATGATAATTACAGTAAGGCACTCTAAGAAGCCAATGCATCGAATTAAATATTGACAATCTTAAATGATTTTTTAAAAATCTTTTTTTCCACAGCCTTACTTTGCGAAATGCATTTTAAGAAAATTATATTATTTTCTGCTTTTTATTTCTGCGTTTAAACTTGTGTTTGCTCGCAAGTCTTTAGAAAAAAGAGTTTCTTTTTTAAATATTTATTTGTATACTTTTTAGTAGTAAAATTTTAATCTAAATATAATCGATAAAAAAACAAAAACATTATTGACTTCTTTTTAAACCCCCAAATTCCTACAGCTCTAATATTGACGCGCCTACCACTTTTCACTGGACAACGTAGACGCGATGTTGACACGACTCAGTTTCAGCCAGACGATCAACACCTTTCAGGTGGCCACGAGACAACTATCAACTGAGCGAAAATGTCACGTGTATACACAAAAACATTGTGCTCCACCTATAAGATGGAAACACCAGTAGAACGAAAGTAAAAAAAAACTAAAACAGTGTTATCAAGCTAGATGGTATTATCAAAACTGTTGATATACTTACAGGCCAGAATTGATATACTTACAGGCCAGAGTTGATATACTTACAGGCCAGAGTTGATATACTTACAGGCCAGAGTTGATATACTTACAGGCCAGAGTTGATATGCTTACAGGCCAGAGTTGATATACTTACAGTCCAGAGTTGATATACTTACAGGCCAGAGTTGATATACTTACAGGCCAGAGTTGATATACTTACAGGCCAGAGTTGATATACTTACAGGCCAGAGTTGATATACTTACAGGCCAGAGTTGATATACTTACAGGCCAGAGTTGATATACTTACAGGCCAGAGTTGATATACTTACAGGCCAGAGTTGATATACTTACAGGCCAGAGTTGATATACTTACAGTTCAGAGTTGATATACTTACAGGCCAGAGTTGATATAATTACAGTCCAGAGTCGATATACTTACAGGCCAGAGTTGATATACTTACAGGCCAGAGTTGATATACTTACAGGCCAGAGTTGATATACTTACAGGCCAGAGTTGATATACTTACAGGCTATAGTTGATATACTTACAGGCTAAAGTTGATATACTTACAGGCCAGAGCTATATACGTGCAGGCCAGAGTTAGATACTTACAGGCCAGAGTCGATATACTTTATATATCAAATATGAGAAATGATAAGGCGAGTTAAAGAAAATACCGTTACTGCTGGTTCAACCCACCTGCCCTCTGCTTGGTGCACCAGATGCTCATCTTCAGAGGAAACCAAACAGCTATGAACCTCTCAACCGTGAGCCCCACCACGTAATAGTAGGCTGAGAACTCAAGCGTCTCGGCCATGATGTTGAACAGCTTACAGCTCCAGTCACTGAACGGGATTCCGTTGTTCTCCGTTAAATTGATGATCAGTCTAATTGTCAGATTCAGGCAATCTGTGGTTAAAGAATTGGGGGGGGGGGGATTTTATGTCAAGTCAATACATGTGACATTCTTGCGAAATCTATGGGAAAGAGATTGTACAAAAATTTCTAGGAAAGCTATAGGATAGAGTTTGTACAAACATTTCTTGAAATCTATAGGACAGATTTTGAACAAACATTTCTAGGAATCCCATTAAATGGAATTAGAGCAGTAGTGTTTATACTGATTAAGCTTGGGTAATTAACAAACAATTTCAGGCTAAGTGTAAGTAAAACTTTTAACAAATTATTAGGGCTAATTCAAATCTCGTCACAAACCAAAAATATCTATACTAATGTACCATATTTTAAAAAAATATTGAATTACTCTCCAACACATTATCAACACATTTAACCAAATTTGTTTACATTAAAATAACAATCGGTCATAATCGGTCAATTGGGCGGTAATAACCCTGGATACGCCACTGCTCAGTAGTGAAATTAGTGGAGAATAGTCAATCCAAGCACTATTTAAATGACTACTGAATTTAATTAGAAATTAAGGAATTTGTAGTTAACCAATGAATAATTCTTTTTAAAAGGAAATGTATTTTTTTTTTTTAAACAATTAGCTTTATATTTCCTAAACTGAAAAAATGTTTTTTTTTTGTAAGAAAAACATATTTAGATGATAAATAGAACCCAACAGTGGTACCGTATGTCTGAGGTGAAGGCAGATATATAAATACATTTAGACATAATTTGTACTCACTGTTTAAAGGTGAATTTCATTTTCCTTTGAACGGATCGCGTTATTACAATATACATATTTGTAACAAATGAATATGTTTCTAGTTGTATAACCCTTTAAGCGGAAATTTTAAAAAAGTAGTTTTATGATTGGAGCACAGAAGAGAAAAAGAGTTGCAGTGGAGATAAGGAAAACGGGTAAACTTGCAAAATTAACTTCTTAGTTAAATTCTGTCAAAATATCAGATACTAGAATTGCTCATCAAAATAAAGTAGCTTCATCTACATCCACTATTGTATGCAGCCATCCTGTTCCAGACATACCATTACCAATTTCACCTGCTGGGGAAATTGCAGAAATTGAAGGGAAAAAAACTCCAAAAACTGAAACAAACAAAGCTGTGTCGGAAAACGAGAGTGTGATTCGCGACAAGGATGCCGTGCTAATATTAAGAACACTTGTACAGTTGAGTACTGGATTCGCAGTGGGCCATCATGGTGTCAGAATCATGACTGCAACCTTTCAAACTCAGGCAGAGAGCACCCTCGAGTTGGAGAAAAAAAAGAACTAAGACAAGGTATTTTCATTAACAAATATGTTCAAACGTGAATTACGGAATGGCGAGTGTGTCAAACGTGAATGGCTTCCCTCACCATCCCAGGGTTGTTTGTATTGTTGTGCGTGCCGTCTATTGTCCAAAAATGAATCTGCCTTTGCTACATCAGGATTCAATGACTGGAACCATAGCAGTCTTATTGTAGAATATGAGAATGGACAGGAAGCATTGATAGAATATGACGTCATATTTGCCTCGGCGCAAAGAAACTGGGTGTTTAGATCCTTCATTAATCAATCATCATCTGTCAGAACAGAAGTACTGGAATAAAGTTCAGCTCGTGTGGTTTCTGTCGTTCGCTTTCTTGCCTCCAGAGGTTTAGCAAATCGTGGAGAGAATCAAACTATTGGGTCAGTAAACAAAGAAATTGTTTTGGTATTTTAGAATTGTTGAGTGAAATAGACCTTTTTTTTTTTTTTGGAAGATCATCTCAAACCATATGGAAATGTTGGAAAGGGCAACGAACCATATCTGTTGGCAAATATTTGTAAAGAATTTATTGATTTAATGATGCAACATGTCCTTTGTGCTATTTTGTAAGAAAGTAAAAAGTCAAAGTATTATTCAACAAGCGTGTATATTCCACTTCAGACATTTCTCACATTGATCAACTGACATTTATGGTCCGGTACATTCCAGAATGTAAACCTGTGGAATGTTTTATCAAGTTAATTCCTTATTTTACCATGGAGCCAATGATCAAACATACACTGTTTGGATTTCCTAAATGAGAAAATTTTTAACCGCCGTGGTCAATCTGTATATGACAATGTTTCAAATATTTCTGGACGCTACACTGGATTGCAAGCACGGATCCTTCAACTGAACGAGTTTGCCGTGTATGTCCCTTGTGCTGGACACAGCCAGAACTTAGTGGGCTTAAAAGCTGCAGAGTGTTGTCTACAAGTAGGAAAAATATTTGACATATTCAGCGCCTATTTTCCCTTTTCCTCAGCCTCTTCACATCGATGGAATGTTCTGGTATCTTCCTTAGGAAAATCTCTCGTTGTCGTAAAGCATCTGTCTGACACAAGATGGTCAGTACATTATGATGCCGTCAATGATTTAGAAAAATACTCAAGATGCGCTGGATTCTATATCAGCTGACACTGATCAGGAACTGAAAACGAGGCGTGAGGCAGAAGGACGAAGTAAGAAAATGGAGATCCTTGTAATTTATCATCATCTGCGATTAATTATAATTTTTTTTTTCTGTTAAAGTTTTAAAACTATTATTGATTTGGAACGATTTCGTTTTTTGTATCCTTAAATCGAATTAATCTATGTTTAACTTTATTGTTAATTTTTATTTTACAATTTTATTCTTTTTAGCGAGTTGGTGGGGAGCAAAAACTGTTTGCGCCCCCTTCCCCCCACTGTTTGACCATTCGGCAAGTGCCCCTTTCGCCCACCCCCCCTCCTCACGACCCTGGTGTGTTGTGTTGTTACGGGCCCCAGTGTATTGCTGTTCCCAGGGCCTCCTATATTCTTAACACGGCCCTGATGGTGATTCTCCTATCCCCCCGCCCCCCAGCCCTAAATCCCCAGTAAACACTAAATTTGTCGTATAGTCCCCTTTGAGCAAACAAGTTTTGTCTAAAATAGCTTGATGCTCTCACCTGTACAGTTCAGGGAGATGAGCCAAAGGATGGAAGAGTTGAATGGTTTCATGCGCAGCAGGATGATGGTGGTGATGAAGCTGCCGGGAATCCCCACGGCGAAAGAAAGGTAGGTTCCGTACATCGTGAAGTAGTATGCGGCTGAAAGGTGACGTAACAGTGACATGGTTTTAATTTAAATTTGGTCTTCTGTGGGTGTCTGTGTATTTGGGGGGAGGGGGGTATTCCATTTGTACAACATTTAAAATCATGCATATTAAGAAACTTGACAAAGAGACCTTTGTTTAACTTGAAAAAACATTTTACGAAGATGAAACTTTAAGTTTCAATGGATTTGTCAATATTTTGGTGGATCCCAGAAGTCTCAAAAAATTTTTTTTTATTAATTTTTTGTTGTTGGGGGGGGGGTATAATTATATCTCAACCATGGGCGCCCGCAGAAAACTTTCTATGGGGGGCGGCAAAAAAAATCGATCAACTTTCCAGGGGGGGGGCAAAAAAATTTTAATAATGTTTTAATATAGTTTTAATTTACCGTAGCGTATTTGTATGGTGAACGAACGGTCAGGACATCAGCTTAGTTACTTTCTCTTTATTTTCTCTTTACTTTAATAAATTTTTTGTCTAATTTTGTCTAAAAAATTTTTATCCAATCAATCCAGGGTATGCAAATGCCCCCATTGCCCCCCCCTGCGGGCGCCCATGATCTCAACCATCGCATAGGGGAACGGTCTATTTCAATAACTGTTAAGTTTGATGGGAAACTAACAGATTAAAGGGTATGTAAGTTCAAGTGTATTATTCTACAAACGATCAACTTCATGCCTGTGAAGTGTGGGTCTAGTGTGAGTACTTCTGATGTAGAGAGTGCTACCATGTTTGTATATAGATTGATCGATCATAAGAACCTAAACAATGGATCGCAACCAAGTTCGACGTGATCATTCCTCCTGACCTACATAATCCCTGGAAAGTTTGGTCACAATCCCTTTATCTCAAAAGATGAAAATTATTAAATATTAAAATTTGGAGGACAAAGGGTAAAAAATAAAACAAAAAATGTTTTTTCATATTGAATGGAGTGTTACAGCTAAAAACTTGACCGAATCCAGCCATATTGAAATTGGATAACATCCTAGGGGGGTAAATGATGAAACACCGGAAGACGTCATTCCCGGTGCTCATTAATATGCAAATGATGATTTTAGTTGTGTGTCTTAATTATTTTTTCTAATCGCTCTTTAATATTTCAAATGTCCATCGGCCTTTTGTTCGGGTATAATATTGATCTGTTATGTAAATGAGACTAATGTCCTTTTGTACCACATACATTTCTGCATGGGTTAATGGATATTGAGCAAACTTGGTTACTTGGTTCTTTCACTTCATTATCCAGTGGTTTGACATTTTTTTTAAACTATAATTTTCAGGGTTAATGAACTGAATTTTCTTCTTTTTTTTAAATATGAGCTATATTTAAATATAAGGAAAATAATAAGTCAAATAAAAATACTACGGCCCACCATACATTTCGAGCTGTTTAGAGCAAACAATGTACAATGCACTTGAAAATATATGACAAAACTTTTGGATTTTGAACTCATAATAATATATTATGATAATAATAATAATAATAATAATAAAGTGTATTTCAAAAACACGCTTCATCCCCAAAGGCTCAAAGCGCGGTACAAGAGTAAAAAATCTATAATTTACCACATTTAAAACAAACGCAACACTACAAAAACTAATTACAAGCATACCAAGTCAAAGTTTTTCTATCCATTTCAATACTAAGCAACACAGCCAATATGCAGTAAATGGAAAATATGGTAGACAATCATCCCAGAAGGTGTTTGCGAAATAGATGTGTCTTTAAATCAGTTTTAAAGGACTCCAGTGTCTGATTGTTTCGGAGATCGACTGGAAGGGCGTTCCAAATTGTTGGACCAGCAAATGCGACCCTGCACTTTCCACAAGTCTCAAGGCGAACACGTGGTGTCGAGAGTTTGCCACTGTTGGATGAGCGGAGTTGTCTAGTGGGTACATAAGGCGTCAGCAGCTCTTTCAGATAGGAGTCATAGACACTAAATTCATTTTCCTGATATGCATACACTATATCCAATGTACCCTCTAAGGTTTGTTGGTTCGTGTGCAAAATCATACAGTTGTGTGCAAAGTTTTACAGAATCAATTTTTTTTTTTTTGCAAAATTTTACAGCCCACAAACACAAACAAACATATGGAAATTTGCTGCACGGTACTCAAGACTGCTGCGCGGCGTCTGTGAGATAGCTGCGCAATCGCGCAGCCGTGCAGCTTAAAGGGAACATTGACTATATCTTTTAAAATTTTCAACCGATTATGATGAAAGAAATTTTTAATTTATAGCCTAACTGTTTATCTGATAAAATTAATCTGATTTATCTGATAAAACTCAATGTTTACAACAGTTATTACAAATCTGGCTTTTTATAGGAGAACTTATGTATTTATTTATTTTTTTTTAAATATATTTTCGTGGAGTGTTTTTGACACAGCGCGCTGAGTTTACGTCGACACAGATAACGCTTTGGAAGTTTTTTGTCCGAAGACAAACCAGAGCACTTCTGGGAATATTGTCTGGTATCTGTATATAACATGGGTGAGACCAGTGGTCTAAAAACTCATTAGTCAAAAGAGCCAAAAATCAACAGCAGGACGATTTTTAAAAAAAATTGAGAGCCGAATTTCTTTTCAAGAACCTGTCAAGAACCATGATTTTTGGAGTCGAACCCGATTTGCGGCCGACTGGCCGAGCCGCGCTCAGGTCACTAAAGAGCCGCGCTCAGGTCACTATAAAGAGCCGCGCTCAGGTCACTATAGAGCCGCACTCAGGTCACTAAAGAACCGCACTCAGGTCACTAAAGAGCCGCACTCAGGTCACTAAAGAGCCGCACTCAGGTCACTAAAGAGCCGCACTCAGGTCACTAAAGAGCCGCACTCAGGTCACTAAAGAGCCGCACTCAGGTCACTAAAGAGCCGCGCTCAGGTCACTAAAGAGCCGCGCTCAGGTCACTAAAGAGCCGCACTCAGGTCACTAAAGAGCCGCACTCAGGTCACTAAAGAGCCGCGCTCAGGTCACTATAAAGAGCCGCACTCAGGTCACTAAAGAGCCGCGCTCAGGTCACTATCAAGAGCAGCACTCAGGTCACTAAAGAGCCGCACTCAGGTCACTAAAAGGCCGCATGCGGATCGCGAGCCAAGATTTGCCGACAACTGGGTTAGGGAAATGCATGCATTGATTACTTAACTGGGTCTTGTAACACTGTAGACCCATTATTTTTTGTTTATTTACTGCAAAGTGTAAAAGGGATGTGTCAGCCAATCCAAACTAGGTAGAAACTCAACTGTAACTATCTGAGCGATGTGTGTGCATTTCTTAACGCGTCCGCGTGCAGAGACCTGCTTGCATAGACATCTTTTAATTTGAACAATGTTATGGTTAACGCAAAGCCTGATTGCCCATGACCCACAAAGATCCGTGGTTTGTAAGGTAAGGAACAAAATCAGCATCCTCAGCCAAACTTCAACATCCTCAGCCAACTATCCCAAAAGAATGCTACTCACCCAGAATACAATAGTTAGATGTAGATATTTGATTTGAAGCTATGGCATATGTTACTTACCCATAACTAAAGGATAACATTTAGCGTCGATCAAAGTTGAACAAACTTTTGCAGTTGTTGTTGCAAATACATTTGCTGGGGACATGCTTGAGATGGAAAGTTTTGATGACGTCACCAAACTCTGGTAATTGGACGCGGAATTGAAATCTGGAGATGAAAATATACAAGAATTGAGTAGACTAAAAAGTAGAATAAAAAATATAGTATGCTAGGGCTTAACCGGGTGCAGATTTTTTTACACCGGGTCCGGGTATTTTGAGAAAATTCCAGATGAGGCCATGTGTTGAAAAAAAAAGAGCTACCTTCTCATTTTCTATAATATTTTCCGGCTTTTAAACAATAGGCCCACGGACAGTCCTACAACCTACATGCTGGCCTCTAAACAATAAGCCTACAGAATTCCTACACCTTACCTACCAGCCTTTAAATAACAGGCCTACGGAAGTCCTACACCCTACCTACCAGCCTTTTAAATAACAGGCCTACGGAAGTCCTACATCCTACCTGCCGGCCTTTAACAATAGACCAATAGCAGGACACACCAGAGGCAAAATATATAGAGGTTGCTAAAGGAATACAAGATTATTCTGATTTTGATAGACTACGTTGCTGCAACCAAGTACTGGCGTATGTGCAGCGGTTTGGGAAAAGATGCGGCCATCCTAACGGCTCCTAGCGGGTGCCAGAGCAGCCTTGAAACTCTCGATTGATGTCGAGTCCAAGGCGGCATTGTCCAGTTGGCTCCAAGCAATTATTGTTCGTGGGAAGAATGATTGTTTATATTGGACTGTGCTACGCCAAGGCACAGTGAAGCATTTATCATTGCTCCTGATGTAACTGCTCATGGAGTTGTCAGAGGTGAAATCAGTGTTTATTGAGCGTTTGGCGGGGTTAGATACGTTTTAGCTGGAACGGCCGGCACAAGCCCCGCGACCACTTTATAGAGAAATGTTAGAAATATACTAAACAAGAAGACAGGGAATTTTAAGGAGATCGATAATTAATTAACAAATATTAATTCATAATATTACACCACTCCCACCCCTGTAATGCATTAAACAAGTTACCAAATGAATTTAATGACAGGCGGAATCATTTTTAAACCTATTTTATTTTTGAGTGGGAAACAATGAGATTCCCCCCCCCCCACTCCTCTATTCAAGTATAATTAAACTGATATGATATACAATTTAAAAAAAAAAACAACTCACAGGTCATGGCTGGTGAAATAGATAGGAGCTTTTCTGTAGTGCCTGAAATATATTGGAGTGATGAAAAGCGCATGTGTTTTTAATGGTCCATATCTATTGGGCGTTCTGGGCATCCCGCAAGTCTGGGCACTCAAATTCATGCAGGGCCTTTTATGCCTCACGTTCCACTTCGTATATGGCTGCTAATTCATCCCCTCCCATACCTATATCATACAGCAGCTATTCCTTGACACCCCCCCCCCCATCCCGGGCACCAGCGCAATAAAACGTACGCCTGTCTACGGGAATGGAAGCACTCGTTTAAGGACGTTGGTTTTTTGTTTAAAATAGCAAACGTAGATTTTACCAAAAAAAAAAAAAAATTCAGAATTGTGTGTTACAACTAAAAAAAAGTCCCCGTTCCAGTAAGAAATGAGCAGCAGGATTCAAAATTGCCCCATAACTTAACAATACCGTGTGTTAGGTTTAGAAGAATAGATCATTATAGGACATAGCGCTAATGGTGAATTGAATGTTTACGAAAATAAAAATTAACAAACGCTATCATAGCAATCCGTACTTAAAAAGTTAGTTGTATTTTAAATGTTTACTACTCCAAAAATAGTTTACTCCTACACAAACACCCACCAAAAAAAAAAAAAAAGAGAAACAAATGAATCACTTTATACTCAGTACGTCCTCATTTTATGCTCAGTACGTCATCGCTTTATACTCAGTACGTCATCATTTTATGCTCAGTACGTCATCCCTTTATCCTCAGTGTGTCATCACTTTATACTCAGTGCTTCATCACTTTTTACTCAGTACGTCATCACTTTATACTAAGCACGTCATCCATTTATACTCAGTACGTCATCTCTTTATTCTCAATACGTCATCACTTTATATTCAGATCTGCATACAGCCCTGTAGCAGCGCAAACGCTAAATGTGCGTTGATAAAACAAATGTTTATTTTTTAAATGAACAGTATTTGACGGTGTCTTTTGGTGGCTATTTCCATTCTTGCTACATTTCCACTTTCAACGGCATTCAATCGAACGCACTTCAAAACGCTACGGTTGAAAATAACAATTTACACCTGTGAAGTATACACTTAGAATACTCTAAGGGAATGTTCGACGTGCTTAAAGCTGCTGGTAATTATGATGATTTGATCTGTAGATGTGTAGCAAGTCAAGTTTTGGGGCAATAACTTTTGGATCTCACCAAAGTACGGTTGACACCAAAAAAAAAATTAGCACAATTTAAATTTAGCCCCACGACTAAAAACTAAATGAGCACATGCGACAATGAGATGGGTTCTAATCAAACACACAAGAAACAAATATATCCATTAAAAGTAAAAAAAAAAAAAATGAAATATATCAATTCGAAGTAATTAAAGAAATAAAGACGAAATTAGCTTATGCAAAAAATGCTCAACTTACCTGAAAAGTCTGCCATCATGTCACTGGTGTTTGTCATTTTCAGTGATCTGTAAAAATACAATCGACACACATGAAATTTGATTCTTCTTGCCAGCTTTCTCAAATTTGAGTGGTGTCCGCTAAGGACGCAGTAAGTTACATTGCTGGCACTGCCCATCTGTTATCAACATACGCCTAAGTTATTTTTAAAGACTATTTTTACAAATTAGTTTTCAATTAATACTTCTAGAAAAAAATATGTTTAAAATAAGAATTATATCATATTTACTTCTAATTCTACTATATCTACTTGTAATTCTACCATATCTACTTGTAATTCTACGATATATAGTTGTAATTCTACGATATCTACTTGTAATTCTACCATATCTACTTGTGATTCTACAATATCTACTTGTAATTCTACCATATTGACTTGTATTTCTAATAATGTCTGTACTTTAACGTATTCTAAAAAAAAAAAATTGTAGTGCACTGCACCCACTCTCGCCCCTTTTCCCACCATTTCGGAATCCCTCCCGCTCCATTTATAAATTGCATGTTATAATATAAAAAACGTTTGCACAAATATAGCAAAACAAAAACAAACAAAAACAGGCAATAATTAGTTATATGAAAGTGCAGTTCACCAAGTTCATATTCAATCTAAAAACTGTCGCTCATAGTCATACGACAACCTGTTCCACTGAGCACAACGGGTAAACATGTTACCCATCTCAGACGTTGCCAATCTATTTAACTCATCTATATATTATGTGTAAGATGTTTGCTTTACATTATCTATGTTTGTAAGATGCTTGCTTCATGATTACAAAAAAATTTTTTAGTAATGTTTTATTATAATTTTAATTTACTGTAGCGTATTTGTATGGTGAACGAACGGACAGGACATCAGCTTAGTTTCTTTCTCTTTATTTTCTCTTTACTTTAATAAATTTTTTGTCTATTTTTGTCTAAATTTTTTTTATCCAATCAATCCAGGGGGGGGCAAGTGCCCCCTTGCCCCTACCTGCGGGCGCCCATGCCTCCACTCCACCCCAACCTCCAATAAATTTAATCAGGATTCAATGCCATTTTAATTTATTTTTTTAATATTGATATAAGTAGTCTATCAAGGTAAACTTGCAATGAATTAAAGTATTTTCAGATTAATTTGTAGGATGGCACCAAACGAGACAACAATTATTTAATCAAATATGCAGCTCCTATTTTTTTCTTTTAAGTCAAACAATTTCCCCAGATTTCGCAAGTAAATTAAAAATGATATATGTTTTTTTTAAACCCACAAACTTAAGAACCATGTCCGTCTAGAATCTGCTAGAAACGGTTTTGTAGATGAAAAGCCATTGGCAACCACATCCACTCTTCACTTATGAAGTAGAGACGAAAACAATTTTATGGTTAGGGGTCGTCACAACATGAAGAATGGTATTAGAGGGTCGGGGCATTAGGAAGGTTGAGAACCTCTGTTCTAATAGTTACTGGAACCTAAATTTATGTAATAGGTATCGGAACCTGAGTTTTGACAAATCTGAATCGTCGATGACGGTCGACGGAAAAAAGAGGGTGGGTGTGGGCGGCGGGGGGGGGGGTGTTAAACTGCAAAACGTTTAGAGAAAGCGGTGATTATTTATTCATGTCAAGAACGCTAAACATTGATTTTGAACTCTTTGGAACATTGCGAAATAGCTAATAATTCCATGAACTCCTTTTTAAAATTCACTTGTAAATGCGAATATTTTAAATGTTTTTTTTAATCCCCAATGCTTGGGTAGCATGATGGCGATACCATTATAACGATTTTTATTTTATTGTCTTATTCACGTTGCTCAAAAAATTAAATAAAAGCTTTAAAATACGCTTTTATGTTTACATTAAAAAGTTTTTAAAAAGGTTTTATATCTGATTCTATTCACGTGGATATTTTAAATTGATTTTTATTATAAACTAGAATAAATGATCCGATGTTATCGGGAAAATAAAGGTTGGTCCATTGCGATAATTTCTATCTGCTATTGCAAAAACTCATCACAATTCCTACCTTTAAAAAGAAGTATCTATGAAATGATGTTACGTTTCTAACATCATTAAGTTTTGAGAAGTATCTGCTATATATTTTACACCGACCCTACACCCGTTCACGCCCCTAAACTACCCTCCCCCCCTCTAAACATGACCTTAAATTACCCAATCTAAATTGTCACCAATTATATTACTTTTGTCATTAAAAAGTTAATTGAGGGACGATTTCTACGCCAGAGAAATATTTTAGATTTACCCCTTTTCGATCCCTTGACTTAAAACTTTTTTCCTCTAAAGATTGTTAAAAACATAATCTTAAATTTATAACAAAAACTCTATTAATGCTATAAATTATTTTATATCAAAGGAGTTTGAATATATTTATAGATTCATCAAAACTTTTGCATTGTTTTTTTAAATTATACATTATCAGAAAATCGTAAAACAAAGAATTCTTTTATCTAAAGAAGAATCTGGCAACAGTTTTTCACGTCCTTAACAGATTTGAGAGATTCTTTTTTTTTTTTAATTGTTTATCTCATAAAATACACACCCACTTTAATTTTTGCAAAGTAAAAAAAAAAAGTATATTTTTTTAAAGAAAATATTAACCCATCTCTATTTTTCAAAATTAAATTTTCAATTGTGTAAAATAATTGGGTTTTGATATTCATGGGTATACTTAGATAAATGTACCACGTTTTGTTAACGCCATCGATTTTCGTAATTGGTAAAAATATGTTTATTTGTAAAAAGAGAATGTAACATCTCTTTTTTCCACAAGTGTAATACCATAGGATTTAAATATATGGTCATCCACATAAGAATGTACACATCCTATTTCCTACCTCCAACATATATGTGTCACAAATGACTGGGTCGGGGGTTAACAACAGAGCTCCATTGTTCTTCAGATAACTTATGGGATGAACGGAAATTGCTGTGATCTTAGGGAGGGAACTGTTGGGCGCATGGGGGTAAGGCTAATACATTCTCGTATCTTTTAGATTAAGGGGATGCTTCTCTCCATAACATTATGTCTCGGATTTCCCAGACTTCGTGTGACAACTTTGGGGTTGACGACGGAAGTTCCTAATTGACCGGAAATGAGGGGGGGTATAGATGGGTTAATTGCCAGCATTCCTGGACCACCTAGGGAGGTAGAGAATGGTATATAACATAGAACTCTTCGTGGCATAGAGAGGGGAGAGATTCGTGGACGGTCGTTCTGTTGTAACAGACGTAGTATTACTAGCCGTAGTCAGAGATAGAATTAGGAATAGATAGCGAAGTGTTAACAGTTAGAAAGGAGACATTACAATCTTATTATAGTGATCAATACATCTTTTACTTATGACTGTTAATGAGGAGTTGTTTATTCATTCATTCGTGTTCTGTGTTCTCTTGGTCGTACTTCTCAACGCCTGGATTAGTGAACCATCACAGAGAGGAACGGCCCAGTACTATTCATAACACCACCAAAACCACGTGGTACATGACCATAAGTACGGCCATTACCTCATAATACCATCTCATCTGTGACATTCTGGGGGCTCGTTTCCGGGGTCCAGACACAACGAGAGGACGACGAAGATGCCAGTTACAAGTTTGAGTGAGATATTGGCTTTAGTAGATGCTCTACAGCTTAGAGGAGATGAGAGGAAAGAATACATCGAGAGAGAGGTGAATAATGTTAGAGAAAGAGAAGCCGCGGAGAAAGCAGCTGAAAGAGAGGCGGCAGAGAGGGCCGCCGAGAGAGCAGCGGCAGAGAGGGCAGCTGAGAGAGAGGCTGCAGAGAGGGCAGCTGATAGAGAGGCGGCAGAGAGGGCGGCTGATAGAGAGGCGATGTTAGAAGCCAAGAGGTTGGAACAAGCCAGTGGTTGGAGTCCCAACGGTTCTGATAGTCGACCTAAGCAGCCCAAGCTTCCACCTTTCGTAGATGGAGTGGATCCATTAGATGGATGGCTCACCAGATTTGAGCTATTCGCCAAGACTAGCAAATGGCCAGTAAGCGACTGGGCGCTGTCACTTAGCGCGCTTCTGTCTGGGCGTGCTTTAGAGGAGTATTCGAGAATGCCCTATGAAGATGCACTAGATTATGAAAAGGTGAAAGAGGTGCTGCTAAAGAGATACAACCTTACAGAGGATGGATACAGAATCATGTTCAGAGAGAGTAGGCCACAGGCAGACGAGTGTCCGGCCGTATTTATCGGAAGGTTGAGGAATTACCTCAAGAAGTGGATTAGTCTGTCGAAGACAGAGAATACATTTGAATGTATTATGGACATGTTCATCAAGGAGCAATTCATGAGTGTGTGTCCCGTTGATTTGGCTACTCACTTAAAAGAGAGAAGAATTGATAGTCTTGATGAAGTAGCGAGAGTAGCAGAGCTATTTCTCGAGGCAAGGAGGAGGGGCTTCAATGATAAGCCTCACTTGTCGCAGTTGGAGGTTAGGAGAAACGCTACGAGCAATAGAGGAGATGAAGAGCAGAAGACATGGTCTGGTCCAATGAGGGCATATAGTGGCATTAGGGGACAGACGAAACCTGACTTCAAGTGTTTTGTCTGTCATAAGAGTGGACATATTGCGAGGAACTGCCCTAATGTAAGTGAATCGAGAAAAACTGAGTCCAAAATGGCTGCATCAGCACTATTTAGTCCTGGGCTGCACCTTGCAGGCAACAGGCGACAAAATAAAAGTCAAAGATTGTCCAAAGGAGATAAAAAGACTGACACAAAGATAGATGTCAAATGTGGTGTGGAGATCGGTGAGATAGATGTCAAATGTGGTGGGGAGATCGGTGAGCAAGACAATGAAACGACAAAGAAGAGGAACTTGCCGATTCTAGAAGGCTTGGTCGGGTCTACTAAAGTTGAGGTGCTGAGAGACACTGGGTGTGAAGCAATAATTGTTAAGCGGAAGTATGTAAGGGATGACCAGCTAACAGGTGGAGTAGGATTCATTGAATTAATGAACACAGACATTGTAAAAGCAGAAAAGGCAGTCATCGACATAGCAACGCCGTACCTTAG